GACTGAACTGCTTCACAACTATAACTACAAGTAAGTTCCTGATGACCGGGTGGCCCAGGCCAGGCCATTCTGAGAATTTACCAGAACTTAAACAGAGTGGGAATCCTGACCCATTCTCCCACTTTGAGCTACATAATTATGTTTCAAATCACTAATTCCAATCCAGAATGATTAAAGTATGATTTTTTTAAAGATTTATTTTTCTACAATAGGATCTTGCTCTGTAGACATAACTACCCTGGGATTCACTACGTCACCCAGATTCATGTCAAACTCAAGATCCTCCTACCTCAGTCTCCTTCAATCACCCTTGGTTTCTAAGGTGCTCTAAATACAAGCATGCTTATTTAAAGAAGGCGCTTTTAAACTTAACCTTGCTGTAACTGAAAGACACACCAACAACAGTTTGGAAAAGATTTACCAAACATAGTCATACAATGTTTATGAAACCACACGATAAGACAGCACACACAAAAACTGTTGACTATTGACTAACTAGGAAAAAGAAGCAGTTGGATCATCAGATGCACAGTTGTGATAAGCAAGCAGATCAGGGCAAATCTTGCTTTTAGCTTTTCTCTGAACACTAGAAGAGATTTATGTAAAGTGTGTAATTTAGCTTAGAGAAAACTGTGATTGCATCAGTTTGGCCCTTGCCCTTGCCCTGACTTTGTATTCCACTCCAGAGATCTTGCTTGGATTGCCCTTAAGTATACTGCCCCAGAAAAATCTGCCCTGGGTTGTCAGAAACTGGCTCTCAAGTAAGCTGCATTGGGAAATTCCTCAGTTTAACAATTCTGGTTTCATCAGGAGACATTTGGAAAGATTTCTGCTTTGGGTAGCTCTTTTTCATATTGTTTTGGTTGGTTTTTATTATTTTGTATGTTTTTTTCTTATTTTGGTTTTCACTTTTAATAATTGCACTAATTCCAGTCCAGAATGATTAAAGTATGATTTCTTTTAAGATTTATTTTTCTACAGCAGGGTCTTGCTCTGTAGACACAACTACTTTGTCACCCAGATTCATGTCAAACTTGAGATCCATTTCTGGCTTTCATTGTATAGCTGAACTATAGATGCCCCCCCATCCTCTCCCTTCCTCCTTCCCCTCCTCCTTCTCCCTCTCCTCTGTCACTCTTGCTTTCAGCATTTCCTGGTAACAAAACACACACTACTGACTGTTTTAAGGGCACCACTGATTTTTTATTTTGACTACTATCCCTACCCTCCCAAGGTCACACTAAAGCATTTTTGGATAGGCTTTTCTTTTCACTGTTAGAATACTTTTATTAGAAGAGAGCAAGGTAAGCATGACAAATAAATTTACATTAAGGAGCTTAAAAAAGAAAAAAATCCTTTTTTTTTTTCAGTTGGGTTTACACTCTAAGGGGTTTCCTTACATTTTAAGGATTGGAAGTTAACACGAAGCAGGGTGTGCACAGCCATCAGTTACTATTTGAATATTGAAATAAATTTAGATTCAGACTAACAAAGCACTATAGCTTTTAAAACTCACTAGGTAGGGCAGGGTACCAATAGGCAAAATTTTTTTTAAAAAGGAGAAAATTTTTAAAAAATGACTTTAATTCTATATCTCATAGAACTAGATCACAGACTTAAATACAAAACAAAAGACAATACAACCTTTAAGAAAGCAAAGACGGGTGTGGTGGCGCACACCTTTAGTCCCAACACTCGGGAGGCAGAGGCAGGTGGATCTCTGTGAGTTCAAGGCCAGCCTGGTCTACATAGTGAGTTCAGGTCAGCTGGGACCACAGGGAGACCGTGTCTCAAAAAGACAAGAAAGAAAGAAAGAAAGAAAGAAAGAAAGAAAGAAAGAAAGAAAGAAAGAAAGAAAGAAAGAAAGAAAGATTTAAAAAGAAAGGAAGGAAGGAAGGAAGGAAGGAAGGAAGGAAGGAAGGAAGGAAGGAAGGAAAAGAAAGATGGAAAAAATTATCTTCAGAATCTGGGCTAGGCATAGAAATATCATACTTGACATCAAAAGCATAATTCGTAAAGGGAGAAACTGATAAATTGAACCATGTCAAATCGTAAAACTTTTGCTGTGCTAAAAAATAAAGCCACAGGATGCACCAAAATTTTCAAAACCATCTTATAAAATTTAGGGACTAATCTTATAGATGACTACTACGTAAAATGTATCATCAAAATTCAACAGTAAACAAGCCAGGCAATACATCTCAAAAATTGGTAAATGGCAGGAAAAGAAATTTCACTGAAGAAGATAAGAGATGGGCCAGTATACACATGAAAAGATACTAACTTCATTTGGACTTAAGGAAATACAGGTCCAATCTACAATGAGATTTGCGCATTTGTTGGAATGGCTAAAATAAAAAATGCTGACACCCAAAATGCAGTGACTAACTGTGGGTGCCCAGCCCTAACTGATACAACTACAATGCAATTTCTACACCTAAGGCTCAGGGAACACTGGAGAAGCAGGGATAGAAAGACTGTAAGAGGCAGAGGAACAAGATGCTTCTGCTAGATAACACAGTCTAGACACAACAGGGAAGTTGAGCTGTGAAAGCTCCACAGTATGGAAACTAACAAGATCAAGCATGATGACAAAACTAGCAGACATGTCAAGGTGGGAATTTTCACAGGGTCCTATCTCTAGATGAAGAGCTATGGGCAATCAATGGATACTGACGGACGGAAAATGAGTTTTCATCAGGGATTAGCTCCCTGATAATCTCTCTAATTCCACGTGGTCAGCCCTAAACACATGTATGTATGAGCACTACTAAATAGACTCAGTACATTATACATATAGATGTCTATTTATAATGTATGTATGTATATATAACAATAACTATCAAAGAAGAGGACAAAAAAATTGCGAGGAAGTCAGGGGGAAAGATAGGAGACATTGGAGGGGACTGGGAAGGGTGAAATGATACAAATATAATACTTGTATATGAAATTCTCAAAAAAAATTAATTATTTTTAAAAAATACAGCATCAAATGACAATGACAATGCAAATGGGGTCAGTCATACAAAGATAATGGGAATGTCACATGGTACAACTATTCTGGAAAAGACTATGGCAGTTTCTTATTAAAAAAACAAACATGTTTACTATTTGACCCAGCAATTACACTTTTAAGTATTTAACCTAGAGAAATGAAAACTTACACTTACACAGAAACTTGCACACTAATGACACTAAGCAGCTTTGTTTATAACAGCCCAAACCAGAAAGATCCCAAATGTCCTTTCTTCAATGGAAGAATGACTAGAAAGCTAACATCTGTCCATCCATGCTATAGTACCTAGCAACACAAAGTAACAAACTATTGATAACCAATACATGCAATAGCTTGGATAGATCTCAAAGAAACTACAGAGTGGGAAAAAAAGCCCTAATTGTGAAAGGTTACATATTATATGATCCCATGTATGTAATAGTCTTCAACTGATAAATTGGAGATTAAAAATACACTAGTGGTCATCAGGAGTGGCAGGTCAAGAGAGGGAGGTGAGAATGATTACAAAAGGGTAGTATGTACTATCCTCTCTTGGAACCATTCTGTGCCTTGACTGTGATCAAGGCCACACAAATCTACACATGTGATAAAACTTCATAGAACTAAATACACACCAACACATACCACTAAATACACACCAACACATACCACAATGACTGCTTGAAAATCTGGTAAAATCCTCTATCAATGTAAATTTCCTAGATATGATTATTAAACCTCAGTCTTGCAAACTGTTAACTACTAAGGGTGAAGTAAATGAAAGACATGGGCTCTTTCTAATATTCCTTAAAAGTATAAGGAAATTGATCATTAAGCCAAAGAAAAAGCTGTATAGTTCCTATTCTAAATGTCCTTTCTAATGCTTCATCCATCTCATAGTTGATTTCTTCCTTCCCCAATCTTGTTACTGTCTCTAGTTCCAAGAGTAGAAATTTAGGACTAATGTACAGAACATTTTGCTACAATAAATACTTTAAATCTGGCTTTCCAAATTCCCTCATTTGTGGTTTGATATTCTAATTGAGGCATGTCCTTTAAAGACAGCCCTGTATTTGATAAAACACTGAGCCTCACCTTGTTGGTAAAATGGATAAAGTAGCCTATGTTGTGGGCCTATTTTGAAAATAAACAAAATAATAAAGTACATAGTAAGTCATCACTACTAAAGTAAAGTAAGTCATCTCACTAAAACTCTAAAATGCAGCTTAATTTCTGGATAATTACATTGATGAAACATGAAGAAAGCAAGCTTCGGTTTTAGTTCCAAGACTTATATTTAGAAAACATGAAATGCATCTTCCATAGATTTTTGGGTTAGGGATATAGTGAAGCTAAATTTAGTTCCTAAGCATTCCAATTTAGGCAACTATAATGATCATTTGAAGCCCACCTTTCTCTGAGTCCGAGAGCATTATCAGCTATTTAATTATGACTAGTCAGTGGCTGCCATAGATGCTTAAATACATAACAAGTAGCCAACAGTAGATACTCCTACTCAGATGCCATGAGACAGACACATGCTGGAGAAGCTCATGCCTTGAGATACTGACTCCAATGGCATCATTTCATTCACCCCACCTACAAAATACCTGCTTCTCAGTAATGACTCTCCATAACCTTTAAATGTATCAGATTTTTAATTACAGCTCAACTAATTAAGTTACAGATCAGCAGGAGCTAAGCACCTAGGATTTAAAACTCAAGACAAGCTGCTGAGCACGACATTTTGAATGATTTGCAGGTCAGTGCATGACAGCTACATCCTCTGAGAGGCTAGAGTCTGAAAGAACCAGTAAAGGTAGAAAGAAATGTCGCCCCTTGGATACTAACTTTTCGAAGGACAAAGTATATTTAACTTCTACTGGTTACCGCTCTGGTGCTGAACAGTCATAGAAAACAAGGTGCCAAGTAACACTTGAGGTCAAAGTCCTCTGAGATATTATTGTTTGAAAGCACTGATATATTTTGCAAAATGAGTGCTTACCGAGCAAAATAACTTTGTTTCCGTTCCTTCTTCTCTTCTTTAGTATCCATAATACACAACCAAAAGTGTGAAATATTTGGAAAAGTCCTCTCAATCAGTGAGTCATAGCCCTGTAATGAAAAAATAATAATGAAACCATCATAAATTAGGAAGTTTATAATGGCTAAAATACAGAATAAAGTGGAGTAGAGTTATATGGTTCAAAACAAATGAAGGATAAACTTTAACCAGGAACACAGTCACATGAGTCAAGAACCAAATGCAAATGGACATGGAGGGAGGAGCAGCTAACCACAACAGTACAATTAGAATGGAGATGGCGAGCCACAGCAGACAGGATGGAAAGCCAAACTGAAGTGCTTTCCCCATAATTAATGTTTCAAAATGTGCCAAAATGAAAATTTTCACTGACTGGAAGATTGAAGACTATCACTGCAGATGGTGCTATTTTCTTTAAAATAATGTACACGAAATCACTCTTCCCCAGTAATTCACTGTAAATAGTTCTCATAGTTTCTCATTTAAAATGGCTCACTTAGGTGTTTTTACAGGAATCATGTTTGTTACATAAAAATAACTTCAATATTATGCTATTTTCAGTAGCATGCCAGCAGGAACATCCCACCTGAGCAAATGTGGAAATGAAAGCACAAAGGCTCAGGAGGCTCTCTGAAAGCGATGGCTCTGCACTTGCTCTGCCTCTCCCCAGTCTCAACACCCTAACCTCTGCTGGCTGGCAGCAGTTTAGACCAATAACAAAAGGTTGTCTCCACATCAATGTTCCTTAGATATCACTTTCACCATCCTATTTCTCTGCTCAAAAATTCCCAATGTCTACTCAACCGCTTGCTTCACCAAATGAATTTCCTGTATAGTATTAACACTCACTAAATGTATGTTTTTCACCATGAAACAAAAGTATGTTCACCAATCAAATTTAAATTTTGAGAAAGCAAAGTACACTCATCAAGCGAAATTATTTATGTATTCATTTCAATTCAATAAACAGCTGAATATACAAGACGCATTATAGGAAAGGCACTACTCTATGTTCCAGAGTTCAAGGATAAATGAGACATGTTTGCTCTAATGCTCTAATGGAATTTACTGTCTTGTGGGGGAGACACAAAATTGCAAGATAATGAGATATGCACTGTCATGTAAGAGACATGGGTCCAGTGGAGCTTGTGGGAAGAGCAACTGTTCAGTTCCTCCATTCCATAACATACATATTTTAAAATGTTAAATAAGAAATCAAATATTTTTTTAAAGGGGTGTGGCCAGAGAGATGTCTCAGCAGTTAAGAGCACAGGCTGCTCTTGCAGAGGATCCAGGTTCGATTCCCAGTATACACACATTGTGGCTAACAACCACCCAGAACTCCAGTTCGAGGGTGTCCAACGACCTCTTCAGGCATTGCAGGACATACTGCAGGCACTACACAACATGGGTGCAGCTACCTACATGCAAGTAATGCAAACGCTAAAATTAAATATATATATTTGGTCTTTTTGAAACAGGGTCTCCTTGTAGCCCCAGCTGTCCTGGAACTCACTATGTAGACCAGGCTGGCCTCATTTTTAAAAAACAAAATGTCAAGTTGTACATGATAAATATGCAATTTTTGCCAGTTACAAACCCTTAACATTTAAAAATTACTTTATTATTTTTAAATCATGTGTATGTGTCTATGTGTGGGTATGTGTACATGAGTGCAGGTGTCTGCAGAGGCCAGAGGCACTGGATCCTTAGGAGTTGGAGTTACCTACCTTATGAGCTGCCTAACATGAGTGCTGGGAACCAAACTCAGGTGCTGTAGAAAAACAATGTACTCTCTTAACTGCTGAGCCACCTCTGTACCCCTAAAACTCTCAACATTTTCAAAAGGACACTTCACCTTACACAAGGGCCCACCTGATACCCTCACCTCACACACTAAGGTTATGAGGATGAGTGTGGGCTTCTCAACAAAGGTACAGAAAATCAGTTCCAACTCGAACCAAAGCAAAAGGACAGAAGAGCTCCTTGCTGATCTAGCATACTGTGCAGCATAGTAATGTGGGGCTAAGGAAGAGAGCTTGGGAAGGACAGGGGTCAGAGAAGACTTTTTTTTTGCCATGCTGAAGAGTCTGAGCTTTATCCTGGTTAGGCACCCAGTGCTGCCCACCTTGTCAGCCATCACTAAGTGGGCATGCCAAAGCCATTGGCAGCACTTCCCGTAGCCACGAGCAAACTGCCCAAAGCCTGCTTATGAGATCATGAATTTTCTCATCCCTGATACTTAAGAAAGGAAGCTATCAAAGGATTCTTCCATGAACAAGTGTGGCATAATCATGTGACAGACGATGACTTAAAAGAATGAGGAAGGGGCTGGAGATATGGCTCAGTTACACAAACTGCTCTTGCAGAGGACCTGGGTTCAGTTCCCTGACCCATGTTGGGAGGTTCACAACTGCCTAAAACTCTAGCTCCAGGGGATCTGACACCTCTGGCCTCTTTGAGGACCTGGACCCACACCCCCCCAACCCCCCCCCACTTAAAAATAAATATATCTTTGCTGGGTGTGGTGGTTCATGCCTTTAATCCCAGCACTCAGGATGCAGAAACAGGCAGATCTCTGTGATATCGAGGCCCGCCTGGTCTACATAGTGAGTTCTAGGCCAGGTGGAGTTACAGGGATACCCTGTCTCAAGAGAGAGAGAGAGAGAGAGTGAGTGAGAGAGAATGAACTAAGGAGACAGTAAAGTATACTTGTAAGAAAGAACTTATAGTTAAAATTAGCTATAATTTTAAATTTAATGAATTTAATGAAGAGGAAGGCTTCAGCTATGCAGCAGTGGTTGGTACAGAGAGGAGAATGAATTCAAGGAGTACTTAGGAGGCAGATGAATGGAGATTTGGCAGCCTATCCAAAACAGACAACACAGGGGAGGGAGGAATGAAGAAGTGCTCCATGCTTCTGCTTCAGGGAGTAGGTGGACTGCAACAGCTTAGCTACCATTTAATGTAGGGCACACTGTGTGGGGGATGGAGGGTATAGGGAGAGGAGAGATCAATTTTGGACATGTCTGGCTTCCAAGGGCCTGTGGGGGTAGTCAGCTAGAGACATTCACCAGACATCTGGATAATTTGGTTATACTAAAAGCATAGGGGACATTACAGAATAGAGAGAGAATGAGAAATTACGAGCATATGGTTGTCATTAGGGAAAAAGAAATGAAAAAGGAAAGAAAAAAAAAAAAACACACTATCATGATGAGGTCATCCTGGAAGCTTGACAACTGTGCACAGGGCCCTGTATAGGAAGAATGGGAGCTAACAGTCCAACTTTGACCGTATTGTTCCTGAGTCCCTGATATGATCCAGTGAAGAAAATAAATATAAGCAAATAACCAGTCTGCAGGATAGCAATGTTGAGCAGCCAGTTAATAACCCCAAGGATCTAAAACACACAAGGTACCATTTTGATTGGTAACACAATAAACCATTAGGGAGGATTGCAGTCGGTAAAAAAATAAAAATAAAAAAATAAAGTAGAGCTGGAGAGATGGCTCAGCAGTTAAGAGCACTGTGCGGATGCATACCCGTAACCTGCAGTGTCTGCAGAGGTCAGAAGAGGGTGTCAGATTCCCCTGGAACTGGAGTTAAGGATGGTTGTTAGTCACCATGTGGGTGCTAGGAATGGAAGCCGGGTCCTCTGCAAAAGCAATCAGTGCTCTTAACCGCTGAGTCATCTCTCCAGGCTCAATAAATTATTTTTTAAAAGAAAGGTAAGGAACTCCAGGAGATAATACTTAAGCAAAAGAAGTAGAAAATGCAAGAGTGACAGTGGCTGCCAAGAAAAGAGAATCAGCCTTGACGCCATTTACCGTGCCCTTTATTTCAGCATATTATCCACACGTTGTCTTTATTAATCCTTAGAACTTTATTCATTAAGCTGAGAGTAAGAAAGATGTCAACTAATTTCTCCAACTCAGCAGTCTAGCTATACAGGAATAGGGATTTAAATCTCATTTTGGTATATGCTCTGGCGTTGTACAATAACCTTTGGAGTCAAGAGCACTTGGAGATAAACTAGGAATTGTATGGAATCTACAATGGCCTGTGTCTCAAGACCCTGCGTGCTAAGACAAATGGAACTGGTGTTTGGGAGAGGGGGCCATTGAGGTATCCCCCAAAACTGGGGGACCAACGGAAGTGGAAGCCAGGCTATAATGAGTTGAGGTACTTAATGTTCATTCATTCAAGAATTTGGGTGATGAAATGAGCAAAAGGAAAGATAGCAGCTGAATGCCCAACTCTAGATGGTTCTATCTCACATTATGGTTTGAACCTACAACTCTTCCTCAACTCTGTACCTTTATCCTTATTCCTTTCCCATCCATGAGGTTTATTTCCTCCTTCTCCTGACCATACCTGGCACAAGTCTAATTCTGCATTAACTATGTGCCCCTTTCTTTTCTCTGCAGGAATGTGCTTCGCCTGTTAACTATTAGTTGCTGAGAGGTCTATACTGTGTTTAAAGGCCTCTTCACTTAGCCTCTCCAAATCCAAACCATAAGCTGCCTTCACGTCAAACACCACCTCAGCTGACTTCCCTCGCACTTTCTGGAGTATATGGCCCTACAATAGGTAGAAAATGCAGACGAAAGTTAAGCAAGGGGTCAAATTAATCCAGAATTGGTGATAAGGTCTACCATATGACAGGTGAACATAAATCAAAGGATTCCTCCCAAATAAAGAATTCTGATGGGGGATATAGACTCTTTCCAGTCTCCTTCAGACTCTTGAAAATGATCAGAATCCTGGGCTCTCGCCTCACTCTAGGTCAGGTGGCTTATTTCAAAGTTCTTCTCCCAAATGGCATAGCTATGTAATGATCTTTGTATATTAGGTTTCTCCTCATGAATAAAAATGAAGTCATAACAACCTAATTGGAAAATTTTTATATTACAAGTTGAGCCAGAAGCTGATATTTGATTCTAGAAGAAAAATATTGACAAAAATAAGCAGAAGAGAAAATATGAAATTATCCAAGAACTGACATCTGGTGCTACTGTGTCTGTTTAGAATTGGTCAAGTTTTTTTCTACCAATACTTTATTAGCTAA